GTATTGCCCTCCCTGGCAGTCCCTGGGTGTCCCTGAGTTTTGGTGGTAGCTGGCACAGTTGGCAGAGGATAGTGAGAGATGGGGGACATCTATAATCCTGTCCTGCAGCCTCACTGGCTCTGTGGGGCTGGAGAGTAGGCCCCAGGCTGTTGCTCCCCACAGCCCTCCCTCCCTGTCATGCATCTCTGCTTACGCTCCCTGACTGTGGCACATTGAAGATATCTTTGCCCGAGACAAGATCCCAATTGTTGTGGGAGGAACCAACTACTACATCGAGTCCCTGCTCTGGAAGGTCCTTATCAACACCAAGGTACTGTTGGAGGGCTGTGTATTGCTCCAGGAAAGGGTGAGCCCCATGTTCAGGGCAGGCTTCCTGTGGTTGGGCATGATGTTCCCCCTGCTAGAGTGGGGCAAGGAGGACCAAAAGCCCCTCGTTCACCGTGTGGGTCTGGGGGATCGTCTTGCTCGTGCTGGCCTTGCACATGGATGAGTGGCTTGACCCAGGGCTGCCTTGTGCCCCACAGGAGAAGGCCAGCACGGCCCCTGGGCTCGTCACCGACAGGAAAATACAGCTGGAGCAGCTGGACGGTGTCGAGCTCCATCGCCGCCTGAGCCAGGTGGATCCAGAGATGGCGGCCAAGCTGCACCCCCACGACAAGCGCAAAATGGCAAGGTGAGCTTGGCGTGCCAGGGGCAGGAGGTGCCAGGGCCCAGCACCCCTTCTTGAAGCAATCATGTGCCTGGGAACACAGCAGGATGGGCTCTCCCGTCCCAGGTGGGTGCTCCTAGCCTCTTAGCAAGGTGCTTGGGGACCTTGGAGCACTGATGTTGGGGAGCTCTCTGGGATGTGAGACCTTTGGCCACGGAGCCCCCAGCTTGAACTGCCTTTGGGGACCAGGACAGCCCATTGCTCCTGGCTTGTGCACGCTGGGGCTGCTTCCGCTGCGGTGCCCCAGCAGCAGGGTTTATCTGGAGCTATTTAAGGAGCAAGCTGCCATGCTGGCTGAGTAACATACCTGAGCTCTGTGGGAACAGCACGACAGCAAGACCAGGCTTGCTGCTTCGACGGGCCCATCCCAGCCAAGCCCTGGCCCAGAGGGAGCAGAACGCCGCCCACCCCATTCGCACGGTGCAGGGGGACAGAGGGTTGGGCACCCCGCATGGCTTCCTCCACCTCCCTGGCTGGGCTGGGCTGAGCTGGCAGTAATGCTTCGCAGCATTGGCAATGCTGGCCTCTTCCCTGCAGCCCTGCCTGGCTGGAAAGGGCAGGACTGGAGCCAGAACCCCATCCCCTGCAGGGCTTGTCCCGGTGCCAGGCAGGAGTGGGTGGCTATGCTCTGGGCTCCTTGGGTGCCATCGCTGTGCTCTGCACTGCATTGCACCCTCAGGACCTGGGTGTGCTTGGGATGCCAGGCACGGGAGGGGGCAGAAACCTGCCCTCCCCCAACATGAGAGGGTTGGATCGTAGCAAGTGTCTGCGGTTGCCTTTGGTGGAGCCCCCAGGGCTGCTGGGGAAATGGAAAAGCTCATCCTCACCCAGCCTCTGAGCTCTGTCTGTCTCTGCTTACAGGAGCCTCCAAGTGTTTGAAGAAACGGGGATCCCCCATAGTGAAATCTTGCACCAGCAGCAGGAGGAGGAAGGTGGGGGGCCCTTAGGGGGGCCCCTGAAATACCCACATTCCTGCATCTTGTGGCTCCATGCAGACCAGGCAGGTGAGAGTGGACTCCTGGCTGTCTGAGTGAGGTGATGCAGGATTAGGGCTGACTCCCTGCTCCTGCCCCAGCCTCCTCCCTGAACGAGGCAGCAATTCCTTTGGCATCAGTGGGTGAGACAGAGGACTCGCTCCCCTTGCCTGCCGGGCTCTGCTTTCCTCAGGTGGACTGGGAGGCTGGCAGCACCACACTGTGACCTGGCATGTTGTCCAGCTGTGGGCCTCCCAAGGGCACGGCTCCAAGCGGCTGAGTGTGTCCTGCTCTCCTCCTCCCAGCTCTGGACCAGCGGCTGGAGAAGCGGGTGGATGACATGCTGGCTGCGGGACTGCTGGAGGAGCTGCGGGATTTCCACCGACGCTACAACCAAGAGAAGGTGGCTGAGAACCGGTGGGTGAGAAATCAGCTCCCTCTCTGCTCCCACTCCCACCTGTCAGACCCATGCAGGGCCCAGAACGACTCTGCCTGCAGTACCTCCGACATATCACTGCTCCTGCAGTGCCTTCTCCTGCGGCAGGGCCAGCAGATGGGACAGGTGTCTGCCTCAGCAGAGAGGTCTGAACCAGCTAGACCCTCCAGCACTTCCTGGCCTTCCCTGCCAGAACCCTTAGACCAGGGTTGGTCAAACAGCAGAGTCCCTGTGGGTCTCAGTGTTGAATGAATTTTGCCTGGACTTCACCTGCCAAGTGGTGATGTTTCCCCTCAGTAAAAATTGCTTGGTGCTGCTTGAGTGTTCACACAGCAAAGCTGACATGGCATGGCACTGAAGGCACTGCTTTGTGTTCCTGTGTGTGCCTGGCATGCCTTGTCCCCTGAGGCCATGGACTTGTGTCACCTGGGGAGGTCCCCGCAGGGTGAGACACAGAGAGCTCAGCTATTCTGGGGAGGGTTGAGGTCTCCCACTGTTCCGAAGGAGATGGTCTTGACCTCTACCTCTTGTCTTGTTGTCCAGGCAGGATTACCAGCATGGCATCTTCCAGTCCATTGGCTTCAAGGAGTTCCACGAGTACCTCGTCAGTGAGGGGAACTGCTCGCCCGAGACCAGCGCCCTACTGCTGCAAAAAGGTGGGAAGAGCACTCTGCATGCCCTACGTCCCTCAGCCCCACACAGCTCCAGGTGACGCTGCGTGATGGTCTGAACCAAGCTCGAACCTTCGGGCAGGTCTTCTTGGGGTCGAGCTGCACCTTTTTCCAATTCAGCCAGCCTGGGGGGGCAGGGACTCCTCAGCACAGCAGAGGTCCCAGGCAGAATCGGTCTGTGTCGAGGAGGGTTCAGTGCGAAGTGGAGATGGAGGCTGAGGAAACCACAGAAACGATAAAAGCCTTGAAAACAAGTCTGGTGCAGAAGCGTCATGTTGTGTCTGCTCAGGAGATGATTACAGAGGGATACGATAAGTCCGGTACTAAATATTGAAAGGTTGTACAGTGGTAAACCATCCTCTGGGCCCACTGCGGGTAGGACAAGGAGTCCTGGGCTCTGTTTGTGCAGGGAAATACTCATTTAGGCGTTATGAGAGCAGTGCAACCCCTGAAAAGATTGTCCTATCTGCTAAAAGCTTTAGGGGGGTTTTGGGCCCTTTGCACCCAGTGTCCATTCAAGAGCATTTGGGACACGTTGTCCAGCCCTTCTGCGCTGCCCCTACACTCTGCCTGGCAGGGCTTGGCTGCTTTGCTGTGATGACCACTTCTCACTGCTGGCCTGGACACCTCCAGACTGACAGAAATACTTCCCTTAAGTGAGCACCGTACCATCCAGCACAAACTTTTGCCCTGTATGATTTGCTTGCGCCGGAGCTGACAGCCTCTTCTCACTCTGCTTTGAACTCAGCTTGCAGTGTTGTGCTGACCTTTGTTTTTATTTTTTACTCCCTCTGTTTCAAAGGGATCGAGGCCCTGAAGCAGGTGACTAAGAGATATGCCCGGAGGCAGAACAAGTGGGTCCGAAACCGCTTCCTGAGACGTAAGTCCTCTGTTCCTGCCCTGCCTCGCCATCCCTGTTTTTGCATCTCTTCTCATCCCTCCTTCGTGCATCCCCTGCTCCCAGCTCAAGAGAGGAGAGTGGTGGCTTCTGCTTTGGGGCAGCGTGTGTGAGGGGGATGCGAATCCAGCAGAGGTTGATCTTGCCTGGATTCTTCTGGCTGGCCCAGGCTGCCCTGGCTCTGCAAGGGTCTGCTACCAGCAGAACCCTCCAGGTTCCACCCACCAGGCTCTGCCCTGCTTGCAACCTGAACATGTGGGAAGGAGAGCAGCCGCTCGGTCCTCCTGAGACAGCCCACTCAGCACTGTCCATGTTTATCTTGCCCACAGCCTGCCTGCCCAGACACTCGGGAAGCCAGCTTCTTCTCACTGCTTCCCCTGTACCCCTGCCTGTCAAGGGAAGCTCTTCCCCTCCCAACAGAAGTGCTATCAGGATGGCTAATACCCCAACAGAACAAACAAGCAAAGTCTCAGCCCTGTGGCAGGCAGCAGTAGATGACTATGGCTGCAGCATCCCTGCTGCCTATCCTGACTCGAGGAGGGGGCACGCAGCTCTGTCCCGCTCCCCACGCACCCAGACGTGCTCCCCGTGCAGGGCGAAAAGCCCAGTTGACAGCTGCCCTCCCGATTAGGAGCAGGGGCCCATTGGCTGCTCTTAGCCCGGGCCCTCTCCCCACGCACCCAGACGTGCTCCCCGTGCAGGGCGAAAAGCCCAGTTGACAGCTGCCCTCCCGATTAGGAGCAGGGGCCCATTGGCTGCTCTTAGCCCGGGCCCTGCTCACTGAAGTGGCAAGGAGCCAGCAGGACTTCCCCGTCCCAGCCCCAGCCTTGGAGCAGGGCCAGCAGCAGCAGCTGGGAGCCAGGAACTTGTTGAAAGGTGCTTGGTAGGGGCAAAACAACAATAAAATAAAATAAAACTGAAAAAAAAAAAAGGCAGGGAGAAACTTGAGTCAAAAGATGGGCTTTGAATGGAGTGCAAGAGCTTTCCCAGAGCCATGTGCTTGGTGGCTGTGGCTCACCTTTCTGGTGGCAGGTGTGCTTCAGATCAGCCCTGCTTGTTTGGGAGCTTGTTTGTGGTTACAGCAATAAAAAGCAGCACCTGCTGGAGACTGGCGTGCGGCAGCCTTTGATGGCTTTGTCCAAGCGGGACTGTGTGCCCAATGTCTGCAGGCAGGTGAGCCGTGGCAGGGCAGCGACATCACCGGAGGGAGTGGGCGCTCTCTGATTGCAACTGTCTCGCCCCGGTTGGGTTGCAGCGAGTACCCCATGCCCTCGTGCCAGGCTGCGGGAGGCCAAAAGGGTGGCTTTGAAACTGTGCCTTGTCAGGTCGAGGCATTAGTAAAGCGTTTCCTGCCGTGATCTGCTACTGTGAGCCGGGAGTGTTGGCCCCTGCAGCGGCAAGCAATTACAGCTCTGGGAACCTGCACCCACAGATTCCTCATCCAGACTCCATGCCTGCATCTCCTTGTAAGCTTTGTGTGATGGCTTTGTGCCTGGATCTAGCTTTTGATCTTCTGTGGCCTCCTGTGGACTGTGGCCGTGATGAAGTGTCTGCTGTTATGATGGGCTGTTGGTGTCCTCATATTTCATTATGCTGCCCTGAAGGCAGATAACCATGAAGGTGCTTGCTACAGGTCTTAGGTGTTCTTGCTGTTTGCAAGTGTGGTGCCCCCCAAGCTGAGGTCTTTGATAATTTTGGCTCTGGAAAGGCTGGTGCTGTTTGCTTCTGAATGTTAAGGGACAGCTAGATAGGAAGGAGCAGGTCTCCCTGGTCACAGCGTAGCCCTGTGGGTGCTAGGACATGATGCTGGGGAGGTTCTGGTGGTGGCCTACCTTTCTGTGTCTCTGTAGGTCCTGGACCCAATGTGCCCCCGGTATATGGGTTGGAGGTGTCTGATCTCTTGCGGTGGGAGGAGGATGTGCTGAAACCTGCTCTGGAGATTGTGGAGAGCTTCATCCAGGTACTGGGTTAACATGTGAGCCGTGGCTGAGAAGCCAGCTCTTGGTAGTCTCCATAACTTGGCACTTAGTCTCTCCCTTGAGCAGGGCTGTCTGCTTACGTGTCCAGCCTTGGCCTTTCCTCGCAGTGGCAGAGGGTTGTTGTCTAAGCTGAAAATTTCTCCTAATGCCCAGTACTCGTCTTGCATGATAAAACTGCAGCTTCTGTCCTGCTAACCTTAGTGTCTGCGTATGGCAAGGTCGCATCCCAAAGCCTGCCAAAGTGAACACAGCCAAGCAAATTTTCATAGTAGAAACCAATTTGAGACGTTATTTAATCTACAGGGACGTGAGCCCCCAGCAGAGCCTGTGAAGATGGAGTACGATGTAAACGAGAACAAACGGAGTCATCGCGTGTGTGAGCTCTGCGACAGAGTCATCATCGGGGACAGGGAGTGGGCAGGTAGGATCCGGCAAGGAGGAGAGGAGAGGACCTGGGAGGGGGCACAGTGGATGCTGTTATGTGGAGGGATGGAGCAAGGCAGTTCTCCGGAGCAGAGCAGCTTCCTTGGCTGTCTCTGCTTGGCGGGATGACCCTCAGCACATGATCGTGGCCTTTCAAGGATTGTTTACAGCCCGTGTATGAAAGCAGCCATTTGCAAGCCCAGAGGGGGTGCAGGAGCTGTGCCACAGCAGCCATCTGTTGGGCTTCCCCCCCTTCCCCGGCACCCAGTAAACACTGCCGCTCTCTGCCGTCACACCAGACGTGGGGATCTATATGTAGCATCAGGCCTCAGAGCTGTCTCTGTTTAGTCAGGGCTGCCAGTCCTGTTCAGCACTTTAGATACTTTGTCAAAAAGCACAGAACAAATCTATTTCTTCTAAAATTTTGTTGTGCAAAATGAAAGTTTCTTAATGTTTTTAATAGCTCAGTTTTGCTCCAGTATCTCCTGTTTGTGTGTTTGTTGGTTTTTGGTTTTGTTTTGTTTTGTTTTTTTTAAAAAAAAGTATTCCTAGCTGTAATGGTAATATAAAGGGATTTTCTATTTTCAATAGACTTACTTTAAAAGAGCTCAGTTGGAATCAGATTAGCTCAGTGAATTTATCTCTGCTGTGAGTCTCATGCTGAGAACCAGAAACAAAAAGTAGTGGAGAAACTGGCTGCAGAAATGAAACTGATAAGTCTCCATGTGTTGCCCAAATGCAGTATATGCAGACACAGTGCAAAGATAAATTTCTCAGGTCATTGGTCATCGGATTTGAACGAGTCACTTATTCTTACTGATCCAGGGAGCTGCTGAAAGCAGAGATGGAAGTAGGCACAGAATAGGAAGCTTGTTGTTGTGAGATCATTTTGTAAGTGTAATTGTTATTTTAGCCAGTCTCAGCTGTCTCAGCTTGGAGGTGCTTTGAAGGAGCTCTCCCTGCTCCAGAACTAGAGGACTCTGAAAGCTATCGGGGTCCATGCCATCCTTCCAGGTCCAGCAAGTTTTGTGACCAAGTGGAAAGTCAAGATCCCCTCAAACACCACAGCTGCAACTACATGTCCTCTAGGGATGTCATCCTGAATTCTGATAGGTGATGACAATACCTTTCTCAACCAAGACCAGCTGTTGTTCTCTGCATCCAGCTGAATTTGGCTCAAACCCCTAGATGGTGGGAGAAAAATGGTTCAAAACCTGGGTGTTACTTGTAACTGCAAAATTTAAAAGCTCAAAGGGAAGTGAAAACAGCAGTGGGAGCTGAGTCGATCTGCAATCTGGTCTGTTTTCTCAAGTCAAGTTACAGATAGTTCCGGGAACTGTTTCCCAGTACCCCACTGGCTCTGGAAGATTTTAAAATTTTGTCTAATTTTATAATTTGTATGGACTTAAAAGAGCACACCTCCCCAGATAGCAGCAGAAATCAGTGCTTCGTCCAGCCACTGTACACTTTGGTATTGCTTGGGACAAATTGTAAGAGGTGAGACTTTACTTCCAGCTGAGGGTGACCCTACAGCATTGGGATAAAGCAGCAGCTTTGCATCTTATTTCATCCTTTGGCAGAAAAGGATGACTTGAAAACACCTGAAGGCCTTGATTCAGTGAGCACGTACCCTTGTTTAATTAAGGCCCTGCTTGAAAAGTTTGCTGCTTTAATTGCTGCTCTGATCTCTTGGAAATAGCAAAACTGCCCTGCTAAGATGGTACATTGGTCTGGTTAGACAAAGTGCCTTCTACTTAGATAATACCACTGATACAGGAGGTTTTACTGTCCTTAACTATGTGATTTTGAACAGAAAAGCAGCTCCTGCTGCCCCACTGTGTCAGTACAAGTTGCATCCCTGGGATTATGCCTCTGTTCCC